GATCTTTCTTATCCCCCCTCCTCTCTCTCTCTCTAACAAAATAATTAGAATTAAGATAAATAATCTATAAGTCTTAATAGTTAGCCTTAATTCCTATCAAATTCTATTGAAAATAAGTCTTACTAAAATCGTTATTAAAAATAATTTTTTGTGACAATTTTTTTACATGTCACTAAAAATTGACAGTTAGTGAATTTTTTTGTCACGATTTTTAAAAATTGTCATTAAAACTTATAATTAGTAACGTTTTTCTGTGATAAATTTTTCAAACTGTCGCTGAAAGTTAAAAACTAATGACTTTTTTTGTGACAATTTTTTTAAATTGTCGCTAAAACTTATAATTAGCGACTTTTTGTGATAAAATTCTTAAACTGTAGTTGAAACTTAACAATTAATGACGTTTTTTAATAGCGTTTGATAAAAAAACGTCATTAATTATCATATGATCTATTGGATAATAAATCTACCTATTAGGATTTATATGTAAGCCTCCCTTAAAATTTATCGTATATTAGAGATGTGTCTTCAAACAAGAGAGATTCGAAGAGAAGATCCAACTTCCTCGTAATTGACCAATATCTTCTCTTAATTTTATTTATTTTTTTGAACAACATCCTCTCTTAAACAAAAACATTATATAAATTTATAATCAAATTAAAAGTTTGAGTATTGTCATTTTAAATTAAAAGCCCATCAATATAAAATATAATTTTTAAAAATGTTATTACCAAATTACTCTATTATGAAATTTTGTACAAACTTAAGTTCGTGTATCATTTTTCTTGTCTAATAGAAAATATCCTTTTAGCATTATGAGTTATCCTAGAGGTGGTGTGTATTATTGGATGATTGAAGAAGAAATTGACCAATCCAACCATATCCTAGGGCGGTGTTAAAAGAATATAATTAGCCTTTAGCATATTGCCACCTCCATTTGTACGGGTTCCCCATGCATGACACCTGTCACAAACAACTCCTGAGTGATGTTATATCATCAAGAGATGCTGACTAGCCTTAGTCAAGAAAAAACAAACATGCCAAATGTTGTCCTCTTTTGTAGATAAAATCAAATTACCAAAAATAAAACAGGAATGTTCAAGTGGAGTTTGTATTGTCGTACAATTAAAGTTAGTTTTCACTTGTATTAAAATACATATCTACTTACATCACCATATTTTGTTACAAAAATGTTTCATGCCCCATTTTCCCCCACCCTCTTTGACCCCCTCTCTCTCTCATTGGTTACATTTTCTTTTTCTTTTTTCTTTTTTTCCTGTTCCTCCAAACACCACCCACCACGTGTCTGTGGGGTGGTGAATAGAGGGGGTCTCTATCATGGCTCATTTTGTTATTACTTTCACATCTTTCTACTTATTTTAATTTCTTCAAATAAAAGCCATGAATGGTATAAACATTTATTACTTGATCCTTATTATTGCTTATATTTGAATGAAAATGATTAGCATAAGTCTAAAGTATTTATTCTTCCATCTTTGTAGATGATTTGGGAGCATTTTGCAACATATGGCCTATCTTAACACTTCACTGTCGTCTTTTCAAGATTGTTTGGAATGTAAATTTGGCATCATAAAAAAATAAAAAAATAAAAAGTAGTTTAGGTTAAGATTTTGACAGAATATAGTTGAGTGGTTTTGAAATCAATGGCACACCAAAAAATTATTCTCACTAAAAGTATGGTGAATCATCAAACTTATCCACATTATGTTGTCAATAGAGAATCTTCAAAATGTAGAGATCATGAATAGAATTCATATTTTTTTTTTGTTTCTTTTTATTTTTAGGTACATCAAAGTGGGTAACTTGAAGGGGCACTTCGCTTAACTTTCTAGTGAAGTTCAAAGAATTTTGACCAACAATTAACTCCAATTGATTGAAGCCAAATCTTTCTGATCTCCTGCCTTTCGAATGGTAGGGGATTACGCCTCTTAAATTTTCAATCAAGATCATTCCTAAGAGTTAGTTCTAGTAAAGAAAAAAAAATTAGACTTGGGTGTTTGGCAAGTTGAATTTTAGTATTTTTTTTGGGCTAAAATTCATAAAATGATAAAATTGGCTAAAATAGTTAATAACACAAAATATCACATCAAATCTATAATCATTTCATTTTTTCTCTCACAAATATCACATTCAATTACAAAAAAAAATCTAACCATCTTTCTAAATATAAAATTTTTAACCTATTAAAATAATTAAAAATTAAAACAACCTACAAAAATAATAACTTCCCAAACAAAATTTAATAAATAAATAGGCATTTGAAACTCAACTTGCCACAAAAGGAAAAGGAAACTACGTATACGGTATGGTATGGGTCAGAGCCAAGGACGGAAGGTCAAAAATTAAAGATAACATTCCAGTCAAGACAATAAGGGGATTAATTTGAACATTGTTTTCAAGGTTGAGTGTCCATCTAAATTACCATGAACATGAAAGCGATTTATAACAAGAAAATAGCTATTAGACTCTATTTGCTAAGCTCAATCCAAAAGTATGTTCATTCGCTCAAGTCATGTCATATGATTCCATGGATTTCAGGAGAATTTAGGACACGTTCGATACAATTTATAAAGGTTGTTTATAACCTTTTTTTATATGAAAAATATTAGGGGTTTCAAAATTTTTGTCAAATTTTTTATCAAACAATCACTGGATGTGTGGGACTCATGTGAATGTGAGACCTATACTCATGTGAATGTTTGATAAAAATCTTAAGTTCCTTAACATTACTCTTTATATATATATATATATATATATACACAATAGATATTTGGCTAAAACATGGTGACTAGGGGGTCACGTGCCCCTCCTGGATTTTTTTTTTAAACATATGTATATAAATAAAAATAATATTTAGAATAAAATGTCAAGGGCATTTTTAAATTTATGAAAACAATAGTGATTGCTTCATTGAAAATGAAGTGACTACAACAAATGATATTTTTATGTATGAAAGTTTTGTGAAAAAATCTCAATATAAAGGTAGCATCCATCATTATTGATATGTAAATATAAGTAATCTCACTATATATGTAAAAATTATTAGAGTGTTAGTTATATTTACATGTGGAGTTTACCCTTCATATATTACTTTACTATTAATTGGTGATATCATATGTCAATAATGACGTGATATCACTATTATATAAAATTTTTACTCAAATTTAGTAAAAATTTGATTTATCTTACCATTATATAATTTATTTTAAGACTTAAATATATGACTTTTATATTATCTATGATACACTAATTACACGCAATACTTTCTTTTTAATTTTACTCGAAGTTAATTATAAAATTTTATGTGAAATACTTTTGTAATAATTTATTTAAGTTTTGTACTTAATATTAATTCAAAAATTATTATTATCTTCTTATTGTTGGTTATGAAAAAAAAATTAAAGTTGTAGTCAATAAGTGTCCCTTCTGATTTAATTTCTTAGCTCCGCCACTGTATATATATATATATTTTACAAGCCTATGTCACATATTTAGGGGTTGTTTGGTAAACATGTTGGGCTAAAAAATCACGAAAGTACAAAAAAAAAAAGTAAAAAAATCACAAAAAGACAAAAAAAAATAAAAAATCCACTATTCCAAAGCTAAAAAGCCAAAAAAGTCAATAAAAAATACCAAACGAATAAAAAAGTCCCACGTTAAAAAAGTCAAAAAAACTAAAAAGCCAACTAAAAAAGTCATTATCAAATCAAGGCTTAGTTTAGTTTTTAGGTAAACTACCAATAGGTTCTAATAGTTAGACTTAATTCTCATCAAATCTTATTAAAAATAAGTCCTAATAAAATTATCGCTCAAAAATAAATTTTTGTACACATGTCGCTAAAAGTTGATAATTAGAGACTTTTTTTGTCACATTTTTATAATTTGTTGCTAAAACTTACGATTAGTGACTTTTTTGTGATAAATTTTTTAAACTCTTGTTGAAAGTTAAAAATTAATAACTTTGTTGTAATAATTTTTTAGTGACATTTTTGTGACAACTTTCAAATTGTCACTGAAAATGAACTATTAGTGACTTTAAATAGTGTTTAGTAAAAAACGCCATTAATTAGCATTGGATCTATTAAATACTATTAGTGACTTTTTTAATAGTATTTAATGAAAAATGCCATTAATTATCATTAGATCTATTAAATAATAGGCCTATCTATTAAGATGTACACGGAAATCCACTTTAATTTTTGCCGACAACTTATTTGATAAAAATTAACTTTAATAAACTGATTGTGAAGGTACTAATATTTTTTAATTTATACTTTATGATTATTAACTTACAGCTTCTAAGAAATTTCGCCAGTTGATAATATATATACATATATAGAAATATATTTGTCCTTTTCTTTTGTTGGCCCAGCAGAGAATGGTTGGGTTCACTACTTCCAACAATGATTATTATAACCCATAGGCCCATCAAACGACTCAAGCCGAGGCCTGTCCAAACTAGTCCAAAGTCCGGGTAGTTCCAATTCCAAGGTGCATATATGAAGAAACTAGCAAGTATTGAATTCCCATAATCTAAGACCCAAACACAATACAGACGAAAGAAGGAAATGGAAGAGGTAGGAACGGCGGTGGGGAGGAAGGTAGGGAGATGGACCTTCCTCTGTTTGGTTAGTAGGAAAAGAGGAGGAAAATGAAAGATTTTCTATTCAACAACATGCACAACATCTTCATTTTGTACAAAAAATTATGTATAAATTTTCTATTCATATAATAACTTTACTCAATTAGAATCTTTTACTTTAAAACATAACACCCATCAAATCAACAATTGCAAAAATGACATCATGTCATTTTGGTGGAATTTACGACTACACCTACCAACAAAATTACAACTATGCCCTTACAATTGTCATGTGATAATCATATAGGCTGCATTGTTTTGATGATCAGAGGCAAAACATTTGTTAATACAGAAAAGAACAGTAGCATAACTTCCAAATCTACAACGAGAAGAAAAAAACATTAAGAATCAACTCACATGCCTGAATTTATACAAAAACATATATCAAAAAGTTATATTACAGTAGCTCAGTAGTGAATGTATGTATGCATTTCAATGTTATTCTGAAACTAATGTATCAAGGGAGACACAGTGAAAAACTTGCAGTGTTCAACAATAAGTGGGTGAATGAAAACATAATCAACAGACATGGTCACAAACCAAAGCAGTAACCAAATATTTCTTTACACACGCGTTATTTTCCCTCAGCAGCCATCTTTTTCTTTATTTCGTGAGCCGTGTTGAATATGCCATTGGTAGGCTTGTTGCATACAAAACATTTTTTGTTCTTGGCATGATGCTGTGAAACAAAAGAAGAGAGTCAAAAAGCTTATAATTTGAAGAATAACAAGCAACATGGCATAACACTAAAAATGATCAAATCCTAATTTGTACCAATGCATTTGATCAAAGAGCAATGCTAGAGACCCACACTTTCAGACCCACAATGATGGGCCCTATATCATTGGGTGTGTAACAAATCAGAGTTGAGGGTCTAAAACGTTTTCCTTGATGAAATCCTAATTTGTATACGGAAAAAAAATCAATTCCAGGAAGGGAAAAAAAGTACTGAAACTCTCATTTCTTTAAATTTTACATATTATCCAATAAAGGCAACGTTAAGAGCTCATTTTAAATGCTATGTAAACTTGAAATGGGATAACTTTATCGTCTCATCAATTTATCTTATATTATCTTTCACTTCAAATTGTCAGCAAAGACTCAGGTACAGTTCCATGTTTCCTTTTTAGTGATAGATAAAAACTGAGAAACACAAGAGAAACATTCCTCCCTCTTGTCTAATATTTTTCATTTCATGCACTATTTCTATACATGTGAATACATAATTTACTTTTACTTAAAGACAAACAGACATCCAATTTTTAGCAATAAAGCATACTCCTATCCTCCATATAAAAGATTAGGAACATCAAATATGTATGTTTGGATAAAGAATCTTTGAGTGCCCCAGGAAACTGAATTGAAAAATTTTAAATTCTGATATCTACAATAAAATTTGTTCTGTTTGGACAAATGGTCCTAAACATGGGTAGTGGTCTTTCATGTTTGGTAGAAAAAAAACAGAAAATTCAATCATGATAGATATGAGCTTCCCATGATGTGCACAAAACAAGTCAACATACCCAAATTTCTTTGGAATATCTCACTTTATAAATTCAATTGGGTTAATACAAAAATTCTGAAAATCAACAAATTTAGTAGAATGAGTATGCTCGTGACATAACACATCCAAATCTTGCTCCTAAACATAAATTTGTATGTTGATTGCGGTGAACATGCAGGCAACCAAATTCATTTCATATCCTTGATGAGAAAACACTTCATGATGAGGTCATAATTTGTTAAAGGGCTTAGAGCAAATAATCAATTCGTAAAAATATTTCTTGAGCATCAGAATTTGTTTCCGATAGTTTTCTTTTTCTCATTTATTTCATATACTACAAGTATGTTAACACAATTAGAAATATTTCGTAAACTATGAATGTTTTTATTTTTTTTATGAGTTCATCTGGAATGGTAATACTACAAGTATATTAACACGAGGATTTTTTTTAGGAAGTCATCTTCATGTATATTTCTCTACATTTGAGATCGTTAAAGAGGCTTCCACCTTTCTCACAAAACCAGTTTATGTGTTTCATTATTTTCTAACTTTATTTGATTTCTTTATCTCCTAGGTACAATTCTATCTAGCTTAGAAGCATGAAATCCAGTACAAGCATATGAACACTAGACAAGAAAGCCAATAGTAAATAAACAGGGAATTCAATTATGACCACTAAAAATTTTTATAAAAAAAATAAATAAATAAGCTTACCTTCAATGCACAATGCTCACAGAAGTAGTGCCTGCACCGAGTTACTACAGGATCTACAAAAGGCTGCCTACATATAAAACAAGCAAACGGCAATGCATCTTCGTCATCTTCATCGCTATGGTCCGCAGTCCCCTCATCCATGTCATCCCCTCCCATAGCCAAATTTCTCTTTCTTGCCTTTTCAGCTTCATCCCACTCCTTCTCCATCTGCCATCCCGACTTATAATCCCCCCGGTCATGCATAAACTTACAAGAATCTCCATACCCACAGTAACCAGTCTCTTTATAATCCTTACAAATATCTGGCTGGTAGTCAAACCTTGCCGACACTCTAATGTGAGCAGAAGCCCTAAGAGGCCCGTGTGACCCACCAGCTTTCTCTGCAGAAACTGTTTGCTCTCTTCGGAACCCAGCTTTGTAATCAGTATAACCATGAATACCTTTATACAGCTTTTCATCCCCAGGGTTCTTGCTTTTCCCCTTCAAAGCAGTCTCAGCTTGCTTTAGAACTCTCTCTCTGATTGCTCGAGCATCTTTTCCGAACTCGGTCTCAGTTTCCAGAGTTGCAGTTGCCCTGCTATCATTTTGAACTTGAATTTCTTTCGAAGACTCAAACTGAAAGATTGGTGTGGTAGACTCTACATTTGACTCGGAGGGCATTGAGCGTTTGGAGGGTCCAGTAGAGAAATGAAGCTTATTGTCAGGCTGTGGGGGCTTTTTCTTATTATGTATCAGTGAACTCTCAGTTTTAGTATCTTCAGCTTCAGCTTCATCTTCATTTTCGTCAAATGTTCGCTTCCTAATGTTTTTGTTTTTTGATGGTTTTCTGAAGAAATTGCAGACTGTAAAATACACAAGACAAGTAAATACTAGTTGAAAGTCGAAAGCTAATAAAAAAACAGATTGCATGCTAAATATAGCAGCAGACCTGGTTCAGGCTGATTTTGGGGTTCGCTCGAGTCAGCCATTGAAAAGTTGGACCCAAGGTTCGAAGCCTACACATGTAGAACCAAAAAATAAATCAGATTAGCTTGATTTCCCAGCTCACAATACCCTGAAAAATAAAATAAAAACAAACTGAAAATTCTAAAATATTCTTATCCTTTTTACTCTGCTTGCCTTTCTTGTGTGATTTCCTCCTTTTCCAAAGCAATTAAAGTAAACAAATGAAATAAAAGCAACATGCATTCATTCAGTAACAAGTAAATCATTTGTAAAAATCCAACTAGTTTCAATATGACAAACAAGCACACGAACATATCTAATAAGAGTTATGTTATAATCTAACGGAGAAGGGAGAGAGATTTGCTGGATTAATGGCTCTACAATTTCTCCAAAAAGCGAAAATCTTTCACCTGACCTTTTCTTGAAAATCTCACCTTTTTTTAAAAGGAATTATTGTGCTAGGTAGAAAACATTGAACTATGTTGGCCATTGGGCTTGGGCATCAAACATTAAACACTTGGGTTCAGAACAACTAAATAATAAGAAGAAAAATAGGCATACCAACAGCACCAGCAACGAGTGAGCACCGATAGAGCGAGGCAAGACAATTCAAAGCCCTAACTAGCTGATCAGACTCAGGTTTACCAATTTTTCATTTTAAGTATCAATTCATTATATTTTGCCTCGAAAGACCGGCTAAAAAAGGACAGTTGCAGTATTCAACAAAACCAGATGGCTCTGAGGCCTGTTCCTCCCAGTTCAACGTGTTGACCCATTTGTTCCAGTTCTTAAAAAAACTCTCCCCCAATTTTTCAGCACTCAAGAGCAATACCTTCCAAAACTAAAGCTAGGTGTCCCACCACGGACTCCTAGTAACACTTCAAGTCCAATATATCTTGCTCTATCTATCCTTTAATTGTTTTTTTCTTTTTTCTTTTTTCTTTTTTTTTGTTAGAACATCCACAGTGGGCTGCCAAAGGAGCTGCCATTGCCAAATTTTGGAAAGAGTTGACAAAAGCAGCACAAGCTTTGGCAATGGCAAATCTGCCAGATCATCATCCCCAACTGCTTTCCTTCTTTCCCTTCCTCATTCTTTCCCGACAAAAACTCCTCCAAACAGAAAATAATATTTTTGTACAACATTTACCAAAAAAATTAAACAGACTAAAAACAACACAACAACAATAATCAAGCAATTTCAAACAATCTGAAGTAAATTTTAAGCAATTATCCATCATGAGAAAGAGGATTTCAGAAAAATAAATACCTGAATTTCTAGATGCGTGATGGAATTCAGACGATTTGAGCAATCTGAAGCTTCGTGTTAGGGTTTGTGTGTGGTTTAAGGGTTTGGGCTTCATCTGCTTCGTGTTAGGGTTTGTTTGTCCTTCGTCTTCATCTTCTCCATCAGAATTACGATTCCAAGGGTTCGGGTTTCTCAGATGGATCAAAGATAGAGATTAGGGTTTAGGGAGAGAGAAAAAAAGAGGGAAGAGAGAGGCATCGGTGGGGATAGAGAGAGATAGAGATAGAGAGAGACGCGGACGATCGGATGATCAGCCAAACGGTGCCGCTTTGGTCTTCTTGTACATGGTTTTTTTTTGGGTTGGTTTGCTTGGTGTTTGGCAAGAAAAAAAAAAAAAAAAAAAAAAAAGGGGCACTTTGATTGATTTATTGATTTATTATTTGAGGGGTGTTGCTTGAAATGACCTTTCTTATGTTTAAAATATTGATAAAGACTCCTAAAATATTATGGGCAAAATTCAGTTTAGTGTATATTTTAAAATAAAATTATTAATAATTAAATTATAAAAAATTTCATGAATTTGTATTAATTTTTTGGTTGAACCACTGAAAAGTAATTTTTCCAAATATTATCACTAAACTAAGGTGATAAATAATTATATCTTAATTGGTTAATATTTAATCAAATTAACAAGATTCTTTCTAATTTGGACCGTGATGTTTGTTCCCGTGGAGCTCATTACATGGCTCACCTCAATAATCTGAATAGTTAACTTTTTAGATCATAATATGTAGATCATTTATTAAAAAAAATCAGATCAATTTGATAACCCGTAGTCCCTTTAGTTTATGACATTTTATTTACAAAAAAATAAAAGACAAATATTATTTGAAAACTAAACTATTTATTTTTTGGTTGATAGATGTAATAAACTAACATGGTTAGTTTGAATCATTGACGTAGAACCCAAAATTTGGGAGGGTGTTGTGCCTCTAAGGCATACCACCGTGTTGTGAGCATGTGGGGGCATTTTTTGAATTTATTATTGTTACCCAAAAAGCAATCTAAGAAGGGGTGAATTAGGTTTTTACAAATTAAAATTAATAATACCCCAATAAAATTAACTATTAGTGCAATAATTATTAACAAGCACAATGATGAACTTAGCAGTAAATGATCAAGTAAAATAGCAATGAAGTATAACTAACATATACGGTAAATCAAATGATTAGCACATGAATATTAAATAGATATAGTAGTAGTAGGAAAGTAAAGAGATTAGGGAAAAGGAGACAAACAGATTTATAGTGGTTCAGCTTCAACCAAGCCTACATCCACTCCTCAAGTTTCACTTGAGATTTTTCACTATCTTCTAACTTCACAGGGTGCTAGCAACCTTTTCACAGATGGAGCAATCCTCCACAGATTTTACACAGACTTTCTAAGTTAAGAATACTGAATGTACTACACTCTTACAAGGTTGGAAAGAATGTGTTTTTGCTTTCACAGAAAGTTACAATAATTATCTCTCAAAGATAGACATAAAAATGAAGCTCTGGTTTTTCTGTAAACCTCACACAAGAAAGATGGGCTTAAAGCTATACGTCTCAGTGTATAATTTTTAAAAGATGATGTAAACAAAAATTGAAGAACACTCATCAGAGAATTTTTCAGAGAATAGATGTGAGTGATTATAGATTAAATAATATTTTCTGGTTTTTTGTAACTTGTTTACATTAGAGGCTTTGATATATATAATGAAATTTATAGTTGTTTATAACCGTTGTATCCATTTGAATTTATAGCCGTTTATAGCCGTTGTACTCCATCATTACTAATTTGAATATCTTCTACTCCATCATTACAAATTTGAATATCTTCCATTTGAACCTTTTGAACTGCTACTGTGCTAGGCTGTTTGAACCTCTGTTTTTGGGCTGTTTGAACTCCTGATTTAATCAAATATTAAATACATTCTAACAACATTTAGGATAAAGGTTTAAGTAAGAAATAATAGGACAAAATAAATTTTGATTCTATTTTTCTCTTTCAAATAAATTAAAATATAAAATCATCAAAATAAATGTTGATCAAAATATTTTGATTCTATTTTTCTCTTTCACATAAATCATCAAAATAAATTTTGATTTTATTTTTCTTTTCCAAATAAATTAAAACATAATTAAATAAATCATCAAAATAAATAAGTCTAACAACCTCTCCCTTTTTTGATGATGGCACACAATAATATTTTGATTTGATTTGGGAGTAAGAAAAGCTCCCCCTTAAGTCATGCTCCCTAAATTCATTTCTAAATACATAAGTTAGCACATATGTAATAAATAAGCTTTAATCAACAGCATGATATGAGACTAAGATATTAAATTATAAATACATAACATCATAATAAAATAATATCATAATACAAAATAATACTATAATACATAATATCATATAATTTTCTCCCCTGTGACATTATCAAAAGGAAATCATGGGTCAAAATCAGGAGGAGGAGGAGGAAAATGATTTGAATAAATGGCATCTATATAATGCAAAACATATATATACATATATGCATACACATACAACTCTCCCGCGTCTCTCTTTTTCCTTTGATAAACGCATTTGACACGCGGCCTCACTTTTGCATCATTGGCCAACAAAAGCAAGCCTCGATTTGTACTCGCCTCGGTTCCCTCTCCCTTCTTGTCTTCTTCCTTCTTCTTAATCTATCATGACCCAATCCCCGTACCCAAGGGTTAAGCATCGTGATGACCAGTAACGGAGATTACCTCCGGCCAATTTTTTAAAAAATCAATAAACGCAAGCGGAAGTAATATTTAAGTGAGGGTACCAAAATAATCATTGGAACTCCTATTTTTATTACAAAATTTATTGACCAAAAAGACCGATATTTACATAGAGAATATCATAAAAGTGCTGTGTGTGTGTCTATTCCGCAACTCGACTTTCCAAAAGCTATTTCTGAATTGCATAATTTCCTGAAAATTGGTAAATAGCTATAAGCACATGGCAGAGTGAGAAATATTATACCAATAGTATAAGGGGCACAAAATAACCATGGATAGTTAGTTATGCTAAAACATTTACATAACTCAGTTTAGTAAATAAATCATTGGTAAACAAATCATTTAAGTGGCAGAAATTAAAATACAGAAATTATGCAAATAAATAATCATAACCACGGTACGTAATAGAATAGAACAGAGGTTACAAGAGTGACGGTTAGAACAGAGGTACAGGCTCAAGAGGTGGCTCGTACGGACTATAGACGTGGCTTCCACAATAGTGTAGCACTTATCTCCGCATAATACTTTGCTCCGCACAGAACAGAGGTCAATGGATCCATGACAAATAAATGACTACAAAGTGGTCAAACAGAGGCCAATGGTTATTTAAGTCTCTCAAGGCATGAGACTCCCGTGGTAGTACTTACAAAACATAATTGTTTATAAGGTTATAGTCAAATATTCTTTAAATATAAATAAACATATCCATGGGTTTCCTTTTAAGAAAATAGGGTTCAGAAAATAATCCATGTAACTGAAATAATAATATAGTTTATAATAATTTATAAAACATAACTTGTATAAAATAAATATGGTAAGTCAAAACATACGTAAAATACATTATGGTAACTCAAAGTATAATATAACTTACCTTAAAAATAATACCTTACTCTTTCTTTCCACTACCAAAAACTCTTTCAACTTCCATTATTTTCTTTCCCTTCCTTTCTCTCTTCTTTCCTTCCTTTCTTTCTCTCTTACTTTTCCTTTTCTTCTTTCCTGATCCTCACTTCACAGCACCCCCACCTCCTTATATATTGAGGTGTAACATTTTCTCAACAAATTTTCGGGTGACACGTAGCACCCCCCAGCCTTCCTATCTCACAGCCATTATTACACTCTCGACTTAAAGCTTATCCTTTCAATGGATAAGTTTAACTTAATTATTTATTTATATATTGATCCATAAATTCTTGATTATTATATTATTTTACAAAATTACGTATAATAATACAAAATAAATCATATATTTTTTCAACAGTGATTAAATAATATTAATATAAATTTTATAGAATAATTAAAATTTGGGTTGTTACATAATTACACACTCGTCCATTTTCTTCTTCACCATTCTCTTCTGTTTCTTCTTCCTCATCGAGAGACAAAAAAAAGAAACTAAACGAAGGAGGCCAAATCTCAGTCTGTTCGCTTCTATTTCTCTGCAACTCATTTCTTTGACACCTCTCACCTCTAATCCATGGCTTCCTCATCTCGTCCCCTCACTCTATTTCCGGACCTGAACGATCCCATAAGCTCTGCTAGACCTAGTGCCCCTACTCCTACTCTTCCTGTCATTCCTCTTCCTAACCTTCCTATGATGTCGATTAAGCAAATCATGGCAGGTTAATCTGACATAGAAGCCAATCATTTCACATTGACGTCCTGTATGGAGACGGTGATGGAAGTTACCAAATTGGCTCACCAATTGCAGAACAGGACGAGTGAGCTCCATCAGGTCAACGCCCAACTCTCTCTGCTCCAGCGCATGTACAAGGATGCGCGAGTAGAAATAGGCGCACTGAAGGCCGAAAATAAAGAGCTTAAACGGAAGACTATCTCCATGGCCCGACTTGAAGCAACGTCGTTCTTGGTCTTTGATAGTTAGCAGGAAGTCGTCGCTCTTGACGAAAGCATGGGCAGGGGCGTCAAGGGTCGCCCAAGGTGATAAAAAGAAGAAGAAAACGATGAAAGAGGCGAGTAAGTAAGATCGGCGTATGGCAAAAAAAAAATGAAGGTTTTTTTTTTTTTTTTAATGTTTATTTTGATCGGTGTGTGGCCGTAAAAAAAATGAAGGATTTTTTTTTTTTTGGTTTTGTTATGTAAATATTTGTATTTTGATTTGTTGTTGTGTTTATGTTTAAGTACTGAAAAATGAAATTAAAAAGCAGAGAAAAAAAAAAAGAAAATTAAGCCCAAACAAAAAATAATAATAAGAGACCAAATTGTTAATGAGTATATGAGAAGCATTTAAGCATGATCTAATTCTCAATTTCTTAGCAAGAGCATACCAATCTCAAGACTATAATAGACATAACAGTGCATAGATTAAACAAAGTTGCTAAGCAAGAGCATAAATATGGAGCTAAAGTTCAAGGCACTCTTCATTGAGGAAAACGATCTTCCTCTTACATTATCAACAACTAATCAATTCAAAGGTCATGTTGTAAGAATTAAGATACCAAAAGTATAGAGATACTAAAACAATCAAGTCTCTTTTTCTC